GACCTCTGGAATACGCATCCGGCATGCTGATCAGTATACTACGAAGGCATGCTGATCAGTATACTACGAAGGCATGCTAAGAAGGTAGGAGAAAAACCTTATAAACGATAAAATAAAACGATGGAGAATTAAAAATATGTGAAACTAACGGGAATTGTGAAGAATTTAACACTTAAATGGATATTGATGAAAAACCACAAGCTGCAGATACAGTAACAGAAGAAATTATCTGCCTTTCGCTTTCTGAAGCAAATTCAAGCACATCATTTGATAAACTTTCTGAAGATGACGACAAAATCGGTAAATTTCTTACATATGCTGAGTTGAGGGGTGTCGTATGAGTATTAAGTTTGTAATGTTACGCGCTTCCAACCTGCACGCAACAATAGTGGTGACTGTTAAGAACTGGAAAGTAGACCAAAGTCTTGAAAAGGGTTTAAATCCCTTTTTATTCAACTTTAGAAATTACAAATGCGTGCTCTTGACGCTCACAAACTACGCCGACCCGGCGGTAAAATAAAAATAAGAAACTAAGAAAAGAATAGTAACAAGTGACTAACTACGAGGCTCTCTAAACGTAACTAACCTCACCGCGTTCTAAAATACCGCTGATAATTCAGCAAACTTCTGAATATTACGTTGAAAGATTAACAAACTGCCGAGGCAAGCACACAGGCCGAAACGCGTGGTTCTTCAATTTCTAACTAGCCACCTCCACGCTCGTGAAGTAAGAAAGCACACTTTCGAACTCGTTTCCTTTCTATTTAACTCAGATACTTCCGCTGACAATTTGAATCCTTGCGCGTTCTACTAAAATTTACATACTCTGGCATTGGCAATTCCAGGGAAGGCATGACAAGAAAGATAGTTTAAACTTAAAATAAATGTTAGTTAAAATAAATATAAACTCTACAAGTTTAAGGGGTACAGAAATCTGTCCAATAATTTCCAGAAGCGTAATGAATAGAAAAATAAAACTTGCGTAATAATTCCAGACAATTTTTTTCCAAATTAAATGCTGAGAAATTAAATATTTATATGCCTTTACTTATATGTATGTTAAATTAGTTAAATTCCATTGATTGAAAAATAATTTTGTTACCTCATAATGTTATCAAAATAGCATGGGCAAACGTGATCTTAATAAATGGCGCCTATTGTAGTAATATTGCACTAAAATATGTATGCGTTACCGCATTACAATTGTTCAAATATCTAGATTGTTATACGAATCAAACTAGCGTTAGGCAATAAAATATCCGATATTATAATTTGCTTCATTAAATGTTTATATTTTTTCTTCTTATTTATGTTTTAATTATCTCCTCTTATTTATACTTCAGTTTACAAATTGTGATATGTTCTACCTCGATTTCATAAAAGTATTTTAGTTTAAAATTATATTAACATTATGAGGTATTTTCTCCCTCCTATCCGCATGCCTTCGGGATGTAATTGGAAGCATATTGGATGCGTATCCGAGAGGCCCAGGGTTCGAGTCCAGGCGAGGACATTTCACATTTTGAATGAACACTGAATGGATTTTTATCTCTAATATAATGTACACCGAATAAACTGTTGAAGCATCCAAATAACGTAGAAGTTAGACAGAAGATGTGAATAATTGTTTAAAGAAATAAAATGTAAATATACTTGTAATAAATTTATATTTTTACTCCCATTTTTAGCATCAAAAAAAAAATTCAGCTTCATGGTAAAATCAAATATTTATTTCACATATTAAAGTTTTAATTTTGAGGTACCTAAGTTTTGACTGTCAGTAAGATGCAAAACATTCCACGTTTCTGATTTATATTCATGATTAAGGGTCTTCATTTTTTATCTTTGAAGTTTATTGTTGTGCAACGCCTGTGCAAGTATTTCTGAATGGGACACAAATATTGAATGTGAACAGCACAAAACTACAAACTGAGCAATTTTAAAATGATCCTAAAGAAATTATTTAATTTTACATAAATAATTAATGTTATAATGCCTTAAATATGAAAAGATCTAAATAATGTACAGGAAATATTAAAAATTAAAATTACCAATCACCAACTGAAGCATAAAACATGAAAATATGTAAACTAATTACATTCTGTTCATTTTAATTTTTTTACTTATTTCATTAAATAAAGAATAACAAAATGTCATCAAATCACCATTTAGAGAGAAAGGGTGAAATAAATTCAAAGAAGCGCCTGCTAAATCTGCTAAACGTTCAAGTAACTTTACATACGTTTACCTTACGCGTTCAGAATACTTTACTCTTCTAAGCATACCATCTTTAAATAATACGATCGTTGTCAGCTAATAGATTTGTTCTAGACTTTTAACAATGCACAATTGCGAAAAAAAAAATGGGACAGTTATATATATCCCATTCTACTGGGCCGATTGAGGGAATTCAAATTGCGTTTTTCATGTCTTGAAAGCGCGACTTAGGATATATATTATATTTATATATAGCATTGTTCTAATGTAGGAATTTTGACGCAAAATCGGACATTTTCTGAAATGACGTGCAAATTTTCTTTCAATATTTAGATTCTACTACTCAAATTATGTCTATATATTCAATTTTGTAAAATTTGGTGCGAAATTTTCCACGAAATTCAAAAATTTATCTTGGCGCATTTTTTTCAGTTTGCGCCAAGAATAATTTTTTTTTCAGTTTGATCCAATATGTATATTCATGTATATCTTACAAAATTTTGAATAAAAAACTCTAACTTTTCCCAGGTGTGCCTAGAAATACATCTATTTTAAGATAAATAAAAGATATATTAATAAATATACACCAAATTCAATTAACATTGAAGAGATAAAATTTTGAGAGCTAATTTGTTTGAAAACTACTCGTGCGATTTTTACAAAACTTGGCAGTTTGGCATAAATTGAGTCGTAGAGTCGAAAGATGGAAAACAATTAGCATGTCATTTCAGAAAAAGTTCGGTTTTGTGTCAAAATACCTATATTAGAACAATGCTATATATAAATCTAATATATATCGTATGTAGCGCTTTCGAGACATGAAAAATGCAAGTTGAATTTCGTCAATCGGCCCAGTGAAAGGGGAGATGCAGAACTGTCCCCTCCCCCTTTAATGTTTTATTTATTTATTTATTTTTCGCAGTGTACGTTTAAATTCAAGTTACGAAAGAGTCCTTATTATAAATATTCACAAAGATATTTTAACACGTATTAATAATTTAAAAATTGAGGTATATCAACTAAAACGTTAAAATTGAACATAAACAAAGTAAGCGATAAATTTTATAAAGCAAATAATTCTGTAAAATAAATAATTTCCTTTAAACAATGCAATTCGGTGACGCTTTGGAACGGAATTCAAAGCGTGCATATTAATCGATGGATTATATTTATTATTCATTTCTAATTTATCAGGATTTCCCAATAGCTGCTTTATACAACTAATTACTTCGATGGATATTTTTAAGACATTTAATCAATGTGTTTGGCGTCTTTATTTTTTATGCTTGTGAACAATTTAAGTGCACTAACACATAAAATATTGCATTCGAAAAATTCTCCTATCTCATGTTAAGCTTTCGCAATAAGATAAGATGGACAAATATAGAAAACGTATTTTGTAAAGAACAAAGGAAACTTGAAAATGTGTATAAATTTGCATAAAATGTAAAGATATTATTATACAAGCTCTCGTTCTCTCTCTATAATTCAATATCCAAATAGAAATTTTTTGCGTTAACAGTCTAACCGGAAAAAATAAATTAAAATTGAAAAAAATAATAATTCAACAAAATAACGTGATAATAATATAATAAAAACAAACAGAGCGTTGAATTTTTTTAAAGGAGGAGTCGAAAGCTTTTTAAGAGATCTACATTTCTAAATTACACGTGGATAATTATAAATTAAATGTTAGTGCCACATAAATTAAATTAATTAAAATAATTGCGAAAGCAACAAATGATGATGAGCTTGGTCGTATTAAAAGGGCTTAAAACTGGTAAAGCATTCTACTATATATCAGTACTGTATACTATATATCATTATAGCATACTATATATATGATACTACACTTTGAATGATGATCAAATGAAATTCTTCCTTTTTATCAGATTGCCGTGTTTTTCAAGAAGTGGTATGCAGCAAACTTAGTTAAATAACTAAAAATAACTAAGTAAATAAAAAATAGATAATTTTTTAAATATATTTAAGAGATTAATATAAAAAGGTGGAGTCAGCATTCAATGTTTAAAATTCATTTCTTTGCGTTAATAAACATTTACTTGCCGTATCTGATATGCGAGAATATACAAAATAAGTTTTATCTGTTTCTGAACGTAGAAATACTGAAACCTTAACGCGAGTAAGTTTATTTGTTTGGCTTATTATTATACGTTTTCTTAGTCGCATTACTCTTGATTGCACACTTATTTCTGTATTCAAAACTGCTGTGTTTAAATTATGAAATTTCTTTATGAAACTAAAACTTATCATTCTTCGAGAGGAAAATAATTTTTTTTGGCTGGACAATCTGAAATTTAGAAATAAACTTGGTATTTCCCAGTAGATTAAATACAGTGACTTGAATAAATTAAATATTAAAATTATATTATACCTATCTTCGTAAGTTTATGTAATGTCATTTACTTTTCCTGTTCAAATTAAAATATAAATATTCTTGGTAGGAAAGATCTATTCTTAAGGTAATTACTCATCACTTTCTCGTGCGAGGGAGAGGAGCTTTCCTTCGTATTTACTTTTACCCAGCGTGGGCGTCGAATTCAAATTTCTCATGAAGCGTAAGATAAACAAACTAACGAGTAGGTACTGCATCTTGGTTTTCAAAAGTGCCATCTGATTCTTCTCGGCAATCCTCTGCTAGCTCTTCCTTTCTATAAAGGCATAGGTCAGCGACATTCATGTGTACATGCGTGCGTGCGTGAGCGCGTGCGTTCGTGTGTGCGCAGGGAGCATCACCCAAACCGATCTTCTCTCGTTGCCAGGTTCCATCAGCTCTGCCTCGAGTCAGTCGAGCGGTTTCAGCGAGGCGAGCGCTGCGACCTCTGGTGGGAGTGTTGGTCAAAAAGACTATGGCGGTCTCGACTTCAAGATCGTGGTGGATTTCAAAAACGGAAGCCAAGCAACCATTCACCTAGTGGCACCAAGTATGCAAGAAAAAGCCGCCTGGACCAGCGATATTAGTCAGGTAAAAGTTTAAATTATGCTAATACCCTTAAGTTTGAATGTCTTTGGATCAACAAGAGTCACACTTCGTAAAAGCGCAGGCATGTGAGACCGTAGGAGCATGTTACATTTTTTATGCATCTGTAAATGCAGTTTTTCCTTTATGACAATTGATATGCAAAGAAATCAACCTTTCAGGGTTGAGCTCGTCGTAACACATTGCATGTTGTTGCATAATGTATTCTACGAAACGTCTTCCCATTGCTGACACACATACCGGAACGCTGATTACTAAAAATGCAGCGTGGTGTCAAAACAGTCTGAGGCTCTGTTATGTCTGTACATTAATGTGTCAGATACAACAGCCGGAAAAAAATGTAACTGCTAATAATTTCATTCATCGCTTAAACTCGGGTAAATGAGAGTAAAGGTAAACAAAATTTAGTAAAATACACATAAATAAACTACATTTATGTTGCCGCTTGTCTTCATTATACACCAGGAAATAATAAATGTTTTATGTAAATATTCCAAGACCTGCAAGTGTAAAGAATGAATAAACCTAATAATAAATGTTTTATGTAAATATTCCAAGAACTGCAAGTGTAAAGAATGAATAAACCTAATAAAAAATTGAATTTGTTCATCTTGTGAAAGCCTTATCTGTCTTTTAAAAATTGTTTTCTATATAAGCAGAAATTATAACAGCCTTTGAAAATTTGAAATACAGTTTTCTTTAATATTAACAATGTATTAAAAAGCTATACAAATCTTAACTTTAAGCTTTAATTAAAACAAGTGTTTTATGATATTTTTGAATAATGCAATTAAAATAAAGGCGTAAGAACAATGCTTTTGCTAACATTCAATTAAAAATGTTATTTTATATTAGATGATGATTGTGCATAATGAATCACATTTTTAAGATAGAGGCAACGAAAAATCACCTTTCAGGTATTTTGACAACTGTACGGTTTAAAAATTGGGAGTGAGGAGAAATAAATGTGTGTGTAGTTAAACTTACGTTTTTCAATCTATTTCTTTAACATGGCATATTAATATCGAGATGACATTAAGTTCGATGTATTATTTAGTTCTTATAACAATAATAAAAACATATATTTTACATGACAGATAACATTTTCTGAATAGCATGTTGCAAGACAGACGGAGAAAAATTCTCTCCTCATTCAAGAATATGTGCGAATATTTTGACAACAACGAAATTTAAAATAACTGTATTAAATATATTTTTCACTTTATTTCAAATTTATTGCATTTAATAAAAGATTATATAGAAAAATGTCTCTTTACAGAATCTAAACATTAAATAAAAAGTAATAAGTTTTTGATATGATTACTAAATTAGAATTTAACTGGTTTATAATAAAAGGATTACGCATTCTGTAAAATGTCAATTTTTGGAAACGTTTTGCTTGAAATTACTCAGTTCCGTTTTTATGTAACTACATATGGTTGTCTAATGTATAATATGTAATGTATCTTTCGTGCATAGTTTGTAAAGAAGAGTGAAAATATTTTCTTTACCTACCTTCTCCATATTAGGAGTTTCAAATCTATTAAGGTAATCTTAAGCTCTTTTAGATAAAATGTCTTTTCTGCGGATGCTATTGCCATCTTTAAACTAAATGGTTTTAATGTACAATGAACAAAATATACTTAAATTAACATTCATTGTACATTTATATTATATTTCTGTGTTTGCATGTATACCATGCTCAGCAAAAGTTTCAAGTGTATTCGTGTGCGAAAGAAACGTTGAAATAGTCTATAATATTTATTTTCCTAGAGTATGTATAAAATTTATATCCATGTTTATAGAATTAATGGAACAAATCTGCTGGTGTATTACTTACATTACCTGTTCATTTACGGAGAACTTACGGGTTCTTAGAAGAAATTAGAAATTTCTGTTGAAATTAAAATATTTATATAAAACATGAATGCATGAAGTTTCGTATGATTAAAAAATAGTCCTTCAATAAAAAGCATTTTCATTAATTGTAAAATCAGCTGTTTGAAAATCACTTATAAATGTAACTGAATATTACGCCTTACGCTACTATTAAATACCTTTGATTAAGAATTCTCAATATCATTATGATACATTACAATTAAGGGGCCACCAGCGGCCGAGCGGTAAAGTCACTGAACACTGGTAGTTCGGTCCGAGGTTCGAATCCCGCGAACGGGCTGGCTGCATGGGCGTTTTCGTGGTTTTCACCATGTGTAACGTGTATACGAGCCAGTTTCCTTTAGAAAGTCCCCCACGAAGGCATCCCTCCCCTTAGGCAGATAGCCCTCGAGGCTTTGCCATAATCCCCCCCCACACACACATTACAATTAATTCAAGCAATGTCACCCGAAAACATTTAGTTTCTTCGAAATGTTATTCACAGTATCAGTTTCATAACAAAATGTATTACTATTTGCAAATAATGTTAAACGAATAAGAAAACTACATTTGCAAGTTGAACGTTGAATATTACTGTTAAATTTCAAATATAAGAATTTGAATAATAAAAACAAATTCCTAGTTTCAAAACTAAACTGCTCTTAAATACTAAAGGATTAATTAATAGTTCACATGATTAATAAGCAATCTTTCTACTGATTAATGGGTTTTCATTTGGATGTTAAAATATTACAAGTAACCAAACATAAGTTAACTGTAACTGTACCTTACTTAAGTTAAATAAGCAATTCAGTAAGTAAATTTTTCTTAAATTAGTTCTCCTAAATGATCTAATATGTTAAGAAGTTCTCATTAGTATGCCTTATTTTCAAATTTCTGACAGCTATTATAAGAAAGCCAAAACTTTTGCCAAATTTTTTGGGTACCAATAAGTATTTAATATTTAAAATTTTGCAAATGCATCATTCTTAATGAACATGTTAAACTCCAAAGCCTATTAAATGTTTCCCAAATAACTTCTTAAAACCTTGATTAAACAGTTGTTTATAAAATTCTACATATTTTTTTCATAAAGAGCATCAAAAGCGAAGAAAAACAAAACTTTGATATTTATGTATGAATGATATTTTTCTGTGGTAATTTACGCTTTTTAAAAATAAGGTCTTAATTTAGTTATCTTCTGGATATTATTCATTTAAATATAAGTTTTATTTAAATTTTAACACCAGATTTTTGCTGAAGGTTTCTAAAAAAAACACAGCTTTCAAAATTCCTTAAATCGTATGCACGTGTACTTAACATATTTCATGCGAATTATTTTACGTACTCTTCTGTTATCGGAGCCAGATTCGGAAATGCGTGTATTTATATGTATTCATGTATGCATGTATGCACATGCACATACATACGCACATTTCTGAATCAGGTCCCGATAACAGAAGAGCACATTATTTTATTTACTGTGTGTTTATAAAAAATAACATTTTCATGCATAAGAATCACAATATTATATTACAAAAAGCCCGTCATAATTCATAAGTCAGTAGAATTATTTGAAATATAAATTATTATTTACATTCAACATTTTAAATATGTATCAAAAGTCATCTCTGTAGTAGATTCGTTGCTTAGCATGACTGCAATAGTTTAATGCTTTCCAGATAGAAATGATACATGCATAAGTGTAATAAAACTGATAACATTTTTCTTAATATGAGATGTTTTTGAAGTTTTTTTCAGATATTCCATAGATTAATTTTAGTAAATGATAATTCTATTTATATCAAACTATTACTAGAATTTTGATTCTTGAATTTGTGAAATTACTACTTACATTTGATTGCAAGCTACTTACAATTATAGCATTACGTATTTTTTATGTTTGATTAAAAGAAGAATGCGAGATCTGCAACTGATCTGTATTATCTGTATTGTATTGTATTAAATATTTTCTGTATATTCCAGTATTTATGATATTTGAATAGTTGATGATACATACTAAACTATAAATAATCTTAACTCACAGCTAGAAGGATTAAAATGCAAATAAAATAGTGAATTTCAATAAAATATTATGACAGTTCATTTGCGCGAGGTTAAATTAATACCTCTGAAGCCACAAATATTTTTAACTGAATAACCCTGCAGTACCCTAACCTAAATTCACTGAAGTTTTATGTGAGCTATCTGTAGCTCATTACAAAGTTAACTTAGAAATTAATGCATGACAGCGTAGAACTTTCCTAAAATTCAATGACATAGAGAAAGGCTAATTAAATTTACTTAATTGTTTTGGTTTGCTGAACATTGCTTTATTTATTTGAATTGCCTGAAGTTCCCTAATTTATCTATAATTATTTATAGTTGAGTTATCCGTAGCTTATTACAAAGTTAACTGTGAAAATTAATGCATGACAATATAGATTTTTCCTAAATTTCACTCTAAAGGCTAATTAAATAACATTATTTTCTTTAATAATCACAGAAAAAAGCAATATGTAATCCTTGTTTTCTATGCTATGTTTATAAATTGTCTGAAGTTGCAAAACAAGTTAATTATAAGGGTTTTCTGAAATATTCTCAGTTGATTAACCGAACGAGCTGTATTGTCATCACATAAGAAATTTTTGTATATTAACCGAACGCTGTTTAATGGAATACTTTAACAAGCAGGTTTTTCTTTTATACTATACGAACTCTTTTTAATGGAAGTGCTTTAACAAGCAGGTTTTTCTTTTGTATCTTCAGACTCACACTCAATTTTTGTACGGGTAGTTCGGTCCGAGGTTCGAATTCTGCAAACGGGCTGGCTGCATGGGTGTTTTCGTGGTTTATCCCATGTGTAACGTGTATACGAACCAGTTTCCCTTAGAACGTCCTCCACGAAGGCATCCCTCCCCTTAGGCAGATCGCCTTCGAGGCTTTGCCATAATCACACACACACAATTTTTGTAATTCGATATTTTAAAGAGTTATCAATTTCAATGCATTTTCAAATGAAACAAATAAAACCGTAACAATTACAGGGACATAATAAAATTCATCACTTAAAATAAAATAATATTCAAGTAATAAAAGTTCTTTATTTATATAAATGTTATTATTAATGTAAATGATTCAGTTATTATTTTTCTTATAACTTAAAGGAATAAATTACACCTGGTAACACGTAAAATGTGTTTCCAGTTATAGTTTCATTTCAGACTGAGTTAAAATTTGTGAATACTTTTTTTTTATCTCTGTATGCTTTCTACACTATTTCAACTGCCAACTCCTAGAACCACATAAACAGACATAGTATGAATCGCCCTTCTTACCTCTAAATTCCAGTTAACACAAATTCAGACCAAAACTTTAAAAAAACCTTTTTATTAACACTTCAGTCTGATGGTTATTCAAAACTGATAATGGTAACAGAAAGTAAAGTCTCAACAGCGTACGCGTAATTTGGAATAAATATTCAAGTTGAATTACAGCATTAAATGCAAGTAGCAAGAATATAAGTAAGCTTTGGTTCAGGCCTCAATATTTTTGCGAAGCAGTTACGGCTATCAGAGCTAAATGCGATAAGCAGTTCAGTCACCGATAAACGAAGCAGAGCAACTGGTCAATGATGGATGTCAAAAGCTCTTTCTCAAACTCAAGAACTCGGAAGTTAATTATAGTTCCTAATTTTTATCCTGGTGGGAACTGATGAAAATGCATGTAAAAGTAAAGACAAAATTATAATGAAACTGAACTAATTAATATAAAACGTTACAACTCAAACGTTTCTCTTGGATAAGACATATACCGTTTTTTCTGTCAAAACGAAGTGTTTTATCAGTTGCTGACTTACCCACTTATCGTTCAAAATAAGTTTTAACTCTTTCGCATTGAGAGACGACCAAATCTGTTTTCAACAAACATCGAAAACGCCCGTATTTACGAATTTGTCTTGGAATAGTTTTCCTTTCCCCCTGCCTGGTAGATCCATCGTGTGCAGTTTCACCTTAGGGCCGGATTGCACCTGCGAACGTCAATAGCTTTCCGTATTTCTCCTTTATTTGCTTCAAAAGAATGATTGACATGTCTTTTAACAACTGGCGAAACCAATGAGCCATACACTAACGTGTAAAGGAAAGAACTAGGTAGAAAATAAACGAGGCGTTGGGGCGGTTTACCGTTGCCTGAATGAACGGGCGTTACGGGCGACTTCGATGCGAAAGAGTTAAGAGTCTTTTCGAGGTTTTATGCCAGAAGTAGACTAATTGCCTATTCATAAACTAAAATAATTTTATAGATGTGTTAAGTAATAAAATTCGTTCATGTTACAAATGTATTAGGTAATTTATTTTCTACAATTTTTTTAAAGTTATAAAGCTTTTATTATACAACAATTATATATTATTTTACAACGTACTTCACAGAAATAAATAGATGTGCCTACCACGAACACACACACACTAGAGTAGTTCTTTCATAAAATATTTTGACGAAAGTGAAGTTTGTTCAGTTAATGTTGGATTCTAAGTCTTCTAAAGAGCAAGACTTGTTTTTGATATTCTATAAGACTTCGAGTACTCTTTGAAAAGGATATGAGAAGTCAGATAAGTGAACGAAGTGTCCATAGTGATTCGAATGCAACTTAAATGCCAAAAAAGGAAGTTTCATTAATTCTCACCGTTTACGAGAGGTATATATGTTACAAAGATCCATCGTTTAATAATTAGCGTCAAACGTATTTTTCACAAGACTCAACACTACTTGGAAATAAAATATCACGTTTCTATGCATGATAAGTGTAACGGCAAATTCTCACTTTTTCGGAATCACAGGAAATTGTGACTATGGGTGGATTATCTAATGAAGCTCCCTGTATAAAACTATTTTTAGCATCTTCTACAGCCATCTGAGAAAAGTTTCAACTTGAGTTGCATTATATTTTGATATAAAATGGTATATAAGAGATATTCCTCAAATTCGAACAAGGCGATGTTTAGCACAAAACATCGGCAGCAAAATTAAGAGAAAGATAATCCATTAAACAATCTAAAAAGTTTGATTCCTAATGATTATGCAAGATAGTATTATAAAAAATTTTATTTTACATGATTGTGGTCTGCATTTTTTATGATTATCTCTCTCATCATATTCCAAACCAGACCAAACCAAATTTTGATGCTTTATCTAATCCGTAGTGGTTTGTAAAGGAATGCTAAAATAATAATTCTTTTTCAATGATGATGATATTAAAAAAATCAGTTTATGATTTGATTGCTTATATAATTGTTCTGGTAATTATTTAAAATGTTTTCCTTTCTAGTGTATAGACAATGTTCACTTTAATGACCTATTTCACGGAACAATGAGTGACTCATCATCTGTGACCATGCCTCACTCCATTAGGTAAGTAGCAGAACTCCATCTTTTACTTACACATTATCTTCTTAGTCACTAAGATAATGCTTTATAGCAAACTAATGTATCATACATATTTGTCATGTTGTTTTATATCCCTGTATTAATCAAACAACATTTAATTTATTCGTAGTAAAGACACCTTGATGAAACCTAACAGTTCAGTATGCTATGTAATTTAATAATTATACAATAAAGGCACCTGGATAACACTTCATTCCATTTATCACATCATAAAACATATAACGTTTTGAATGATCCAAAATATTTAAATTATTCTTCATTATAATGTAATGCCTTTTACTTTACTTTCCAAGCGCAAAACTCACCACTGTATGGCATTCAGACATTGCTTTTTTATTCTATTGTTATTTTTTTTCTGGTAAAAACTATTTAGATTTAAAAACCTATTCACTTGATAAGTTTCAACAAAGTATGCGATAATGTCACAGCCTAACTTTCATTAACCTTTTCTCCTTACATGCTATTTAGTCAGTATTTTAAGTAACTCTAGTGTGGAGGTATGTATCATCAAATTCTGTAAAGGTGTTGCTTTATCTTTGACTATCTCAATGTTAGTCTCACAAAATGGTCTATTCTTCACAGTTTTAAGGTGAATTAATGTAAATTAATCGGTTCAGTTTTGAAGAGGTTTGACATCTGAATCTAGAAATGTAAGACTGTGATGATATTTTGTTTCAATTCTAACATGAAATTCAACAAATTATGCACGTGAAGGTCTAAAAAATTAACTCACACTCCAAAGAAATTTGAAATGTATGTTCGGTATACAAAAAAACTATTTTCCTGAAACCTTCTTAAACTTTCCCCTCCTCCTCATATTCTCTTTTTAAGAAAATAATTTACTTCTTTATCCTTGAAATTCATCTAAATTATTCATTGTTCGTTTTTCTGTTAAAGTTAGTTTGGAATAGCAAAAATCGAATAAAAATGCCAGCTTTCATGCATTATTGTTAGTTAGTTAATGTAAATATTCATACATTATTTTTAGCTATTTAAAATTAGTTTGGCATATCAACTGAGACAGCATTCTGCTTAACGCAGTCTCCTTTATGCTTTACTAAAATAAGTAACGTAGCTGCTTCGTATCTTACAATAAAAGCATAATAACAAAGAGAAGATATTCTGGATTAACAGACAATTTTCCTATTATTTACCACTTTATTCGCAAAGAAAAACCAGTTTAAAATTTTCTTTTAGAACAGTTTAATGGCAATATATTTGGTTAGAAGGAAAGTAATTTTGGCTTTTAGAGTGAAATAAAATTCAATTTTTTATACAAACTATGAACTTTAAGCAGTTAAATATCTTCCATTCTTTCGATGGCTTTTTGCCATCTTTCTGGTAATTTCATCATTCCGTGCTCATAGAACTTCTGGTCTTTATGGACAAAAACCTCGAGGTTGTCATTATTACTGAAATTTTTACCATATAAGAAGTTTTGTAAACTTCGAAACAAATGATAATCCGATGGTGCAACATCGAGGCTATATGTGGGATGAGACATCACTTACCATCTAAGTCCCAGTAATTTTGTACATATTGCTAAAGATGTGTGAGACCTCTCATTGCCGTGCTGAACAAAACTCCTTTGCGATTTGCGACTCTGGCCTTTTCCCTTTGCCTGATTCCTCCAGTTTCATAAGTTGTTGACAGTACACATTTGAGTTGATTTTCTGGTTGCTTGAAAGAAGCTCAAAATACATAACATCTCTTTAATCCTGCCAAATTGACAGCATAAGGTTTTTCTGGTGCAATTAAGCTTTCAGTATGATTTGTGGTGATTCGTCACACTTGGACCACGATCTTTTTCGATCGATCTCTTTCTCATCACCAGTGATAATTTGTTTCATAAAAGGATTGACTGCATTACGTTTGAAATACGCATTACAAATACTGATTCGTTGTATTAAGTGAATTTCTTTCAATTCATACTTCTTTACTTGAAGCTACTTAACGAGGCCAAGACATCTTATGAAATTTTCAGTTATTGTATGTGATACATTTAACATTATTGCAATTTCTTGCACAGTTATATGATGATTCGAATCAATTATGGCTTGAATTTTATCATCATCATCTTCAGCATGTTGGCCGGAACATTGGTCATCTTCAAGAGAAAAATCTCCGGAACAAAAATTTTAAACCAGTTCTGACACATGCGTTCTGTTAAGCAATCAACTACATAAACTTCCCACATCTCTTTGTGAATTTCAGTCGCTTTCTTGCATTTATGAAAATAAAAAAGTAAAATCCCAGCATGTAGTATCTTTCATGCAAATCTGACACTGGCTGCATGCTGCCTTTATGATGTAGGAGTTTTAATGTCCAGCAGTGCACTTCCAAACTCTTAAATTTGTTATTAAAAAACTTGTCTATTCTAGATTGCTAAGCATATTTTTCTCATCCAATCTGCAAGAATTAAGTGCTCCAAGTGTTAACTGTCTTAATTAAAAATGGTATCTATACTGCTACCGTATAAGGTACTATTCAGAAACATTTCCATCAAAAACCTAAATATTTGACATCTATTTGCGTTTGTAAGAGTGCATTTTATAATTAACAGTTATATAAATGCTACTTCATCATAATTAGCAACGTAGTTGCTGATAATAATAGTTAGCTTTATCTTTGATTGGTAACTCTGTATTGTGATATCAAATTAGAAACAAATACAACCACATGTTCCAATAATCATATTTTTTCCAATGGGAAACCTTTGTTATCGAATGGCAATATCTTATAACTGACTCTTTGATAACTAATTAATTTTAATTTTGAACAAAAGGCTTGCAATTGCAGGAAAATTATTAAGCAGTTAAAATAATTAACCATTCCAATAATTTTAGCCCTGAACAAAAAGTCTAAAAATACTCATAGAAAAAAAACATTTAATTACGATGTACTTTCAAAATACCATATTTTCCTACCAGCAGCCATGCCGTAAAAACTGATGAACACTAGTAGTTTGACAATAAGTTCAAATCATCGCAGAAAACTGGCTGAATTGGTACTTTCTGTATGTGCAGCATTAAAACGAGTCAGTTTCCTTTAAAACATCCTCCACGAAAACATCACTCTTGTAAGGCAGATTACCTCTCATGCTTTGAGATAATCTAAATAATTCTAAGTAATTCAAATACATTTTATTCGTAAGATTAAGAAAAATCTGAAAGGCACTTGAAGTCACTGAATAGTTCCATAAGTGGGGAAAACTTATAAAAAATTAAATGGTTCTAAGAAGTGCTTCAGTACATGTAATCGTAACATGGTATATTTCTTTAAATTATAGAAAAATGGTCTAATTAATGGTTTCTATCATTCTTGTTTTAAAAGAGGATGACATATTCGTTTTATTGTTTGTGAAACGTGTAAACTATTATAAAAATTTATTTTCCTAATTTAAAAATATTGGATTGTAATAATCGAATCCGAAAAATCACCATATGTTGACAAATATGTTACAAATTCGATAAAATTTTGACTTTAACTGACGGAATAAAAACTGAAACTCGGCAGTCATTAATTGGATCATGTAACGATGTATGACTGACAATATGTAATTAACGATACATGATAATATATGTTTGAGCAGATCAGCACGATTTATTAATTTTCTTTCATAAATTTTGTTTTTTAAAAAACCTCAAAGGAGAACCTCTGCTGGATTTAGATACGGTAACCGTGTTTGCCATTACAATGCACCTCCATGTCAGTTAAAATTAGTTCTAAATGTACTTTTCGGAAACCTGCATGGCATAGTGAATTTAAGTTCTAGAAAGTTCATGGGGAAACTGCAAAGATAATAAATCTTTCAATGAGACTTATCTATATCAGGGTAAATTTCCCCCCTCTGGGGATGGAATTTCATAGTTTAAGTGTGGGGGGGGGAATACAAACCATCTTTTCTTTATCTGTTAAGCATTTAGCTATAGCTTATGAATATCGAAATTTCTTTTATGGCACATTTTAGTATTTTTCAACATTTTCAGTTTTACTGTGCAATTTATAAAATACGTTAAAATATAATCTTCATTTAAAAAAATACATATGCCTTATTTGAAAGGAGGGTAGAATAATCTAGGAGTAGAAAGAGGGATACATTCAGCAAAATAGGTTGAGAACAATAGCGTTATCATCTTAGAAGTCAAATAATGTTGCATTTAAAATATCTGTGTGTCAGTTAAAATACTATCCAAAACGAATTTCCCCATTAGCGCTTCGTTTCATAATCACGCCAGACATTTATACTTTAATGGAACTGATTTTTACTTCCTTGTAGGAAGTAAAGGAATTATTGTAATCGCAAAACTTTTCGGATATCATATTTCAACAAAAATGTACATTTTAACCACTATCGAATGTAATTTAACGATATTCTTGCGTGACATCTGTACGTAAAGTACTCTTTTTCTCAAAAAGCGTTGCAAAAAGGATTTACAATGGATTCAGAAGAGATTTTTTTGTGATGTCTGTACGTACGTATATATGTATGTATCTCGCATAACTCAAACATTAGTAGCCTCAGAATGTTGAAATTTTGTATATAACACTGCTATAACATGTAGTTGTGCACCTTTCTTTTTGGTTGCAATCGGCTGAACCAAAGGTATATATATATATATATGTCATATTAAAAGCACAAAGGAAAAAACGGAACACTGTAGATGCGTGATTAGACCCATATTGAAGAAGATTTTGATTGCGTAGTATGCTAGTAATGCTAACTTGGTAACATCTAAAGAACTTGGCAGTCGAGGCAGTTTTAATTCCATTTTTATTTCCAATTGATATTTGTGGCCACAATCACTTGGCACTCTAGTCGTGCCTTTCAACAGAAGATTTACATTTTTGATATTGTTGAGATAGAAAGCAAGCCAGCGAAATTACATCTTAGCAGAGTAGAGGGCAAAAGCTGAAGTGCGTCGTTATGAAAGATGGAAGCACACGAAGAGAAAAGTTTTGGT